CTGCAATTAATGGCTCTGTCTGATGGCAGGAATACAAGCTCTGACATCCGCTGGCACATATTGAAGATGCTTGTTACACTTAGAGTGCAGTACCGTTTCACGTAAAGAAACACATTTATGATGATGACCATATCAGCTTTGAGGAGTTTGGCCTTCTGGAATTTCTTTTAGCAAGACATGGAGCTGTTCTGGGTTACGTGAGGGTGTCGACTGCAGCTATAGTATGAACTGGAGGTTGTATCTCGTATCACCTGCGCACACAGGTCTGCAGTACAGAAGGATCTCAGTGCACGGCTACGGTAAGACCTGGGGAAAACAAAAACATGTATTAGTCACCCCCTACAATGCTGTGAGGAAGCTAAACTTTTGAAAGTACCCAAATAAGGTTGTTTTTAGGAGAAAACAAGAGCTTTGGTCAGGGTTGGACTCAGAGAAGGAGGCTGTGGATATTTCCTGGAAGGTACTAGTGCAAATCCACTAAACTTGTCTCTTTTTGCTGGGTCCAACATTGGACTTTCACCCAATAGTAAGCTGTTTGTGTGCCTTGCAAAACCAAGTCTTTACTCTTTTAACTAACTTAATTTAAAGCCAAATTATCTGGCCACAAAGTGTTGGTTTCGTAAATAAAGTTTTTTGCTTTGTTTTCTTTCCATTTATAATGTTAACCACTTCTAAGTCACGACAAAGTCACGACAAATGTGTTTCCTCTGAAATGTTATTGACCATTCAAATGGGAAACATGGTTGCTTTTTTACATGCAATCATGCATAGCTTACAGGTTTTACTAGAAGTTGTCCTCATTAGCAGTCTGTAACTGATCTATTAAGCATACTACATGTTTTAGTAACCATCACAATGCCATAAGCATCAGTTTATAAACTCCTGGTGTAGGGTACAGTGAAAGAAATGACCTTAAACACAGAAACAACCTAAATATTCTTCGTATATCTGTACCAAAATATCAGCTCGAGTCAAAGGACAAAGTGATGTAGTCAACGTGACAGAAAATTGGGGGGAGGATGGGGATAAAGGGGGGTTAGGGGGGAGGAATGACAGGAAGGATTTGACGAAAACAGATGTGTCATGTTGGAATGACACCGCCTGCGAACAGCGAGCGAAAAAATAAGCTGTGATTAATTTAATTTAATTTAGCTGGAGCAATTATCCGACACAGCCTGATATCCGACACGTGGAACCTGTTCTGTGCAAACCGATGAGTACAACAACTGTTCTTTGACAGCTGATATGTGGAAGTAGACGCCTATAAGTAGGTTTTTCCGTTCTCAGCCAGCAACACATTCTTTGGCCTTTTTTTCCCGTCTTCATCCCTTCTCGCTCTCCATACAAATCTGCCTTATTCTCTCCATCTCTGTCTGTCTTTCCCAGGCGACAGACGGTGCCTCCTGTTCAGTTTAGCAGTTATTACACGCTCTAAAACGCACTGACTCACAGAGAGGCAGAGATAAAGAAAGATGGGTGATGATGGACGAAACAGTAAGTGGAGGGTAGAGGAAGTAGATTAAGGATAATGGGTGTGTTGCGTGAGACCTCTTTTTATGCTGCTGAATGTGCTGTCTTTGTCATGTGTCGGCCTTTTTACAGCATTGTCTGTCTGCAGATAATATAGCAGCTCATATCAGTTGCACTTAACCAATAATTAGTGGTCTTTATGTCCAAAGAACTAAATAAATGATCGTAAACTGTTCCCACGATGCTTTGGTAAAGACCATAGAGTTGATTTCACCCGATAAGAGCTTGCGCTAAATGTTTTATTTACCTTATTAATGCAATAATTAGTTTAATTAATTCATAAAAAGGATTTTATACATTGTATGTTACTGACCTAAAGCTAAATAGCAGACGGACAAGGTTTGCGACAAGCTAGCAGCAAACTTATTGGAGCATTAAGCAGTTTAATAGTTGAATAAGAAACATAAGAAAAGGGAAGTGAATAATAATACACTAACCTTTTGATGGTGGAGACCAAAAACAGAGCTAAAAGAGCAATAATTGGACTTCTATTCGTCAAGTGATTAGACACAAGATGCCAAATAAATGTCAACTCTTTTCCTTACACATTTCTATTATAAAAACATAACATTTATTCAGCGAAATCACTGAATATACACTGGTTCCACGTAAGAACAAGAACAAGTTGAATGTCTTTGTGTTTTGGACCCATTTGTTTAAATCTGGGAAGTTGTGACTGACATTATGATTGTTTTTTGCCATGATTTAGACTACAAAATGCATTTGTTAACTGTCTGTGGACATTGTTTATTTTCCATTTAGAGCGGAGGGTCCCTCGCAGGGGCGGTTCTAGAGGGGGGCCAGGGGGGCCAGTGCCCCCTAACACTGACAAGTTTTTGTTTTTGTTTTTTTTAAAGTATATTTTCTGGTACTCGGTTTGCCAAAAAACGCAGGATTTTGTTGCTGTAATGTGAGATTGTGCAGACACCCTTATGTACAGTAGAGATGTAACTGTTCATTGCCTTTATTTTTATATAAATATGGTGTTAGCGCAAACATTGCACTATAACTTAAGCTGAAGCTAACAGTAATAACTATAAGATCTATCTGAAATAAATAAGTGTACTGAAACAAATACCAATAACTTGCATTGTTTTCTTATGCGCAATTACTTCATACTGTCTAGTTCTCTTTTTCGTCCTGCATTTATTGTGCCCCCCTCAGAAAATAACTGGCCCCCCAGTGGCCCCCCCAGTCAAATTGGTCTAGAACCGCCACTGGTCCCTCGTAAAATAATGTCATCCTGTTGATATAAACGATGCAGAGATCCTGTTGCAGCATACCTTTCCCTTCCCAAACATCCAAACAGTGTCACACCAGAGACCTATTAATATACACAGAGGAGCATATAAACAAATAAACTCTGCAGGACATGCCAGTAACTATACAAAATAGTAGGGATGGTCTGTGAAACAGAGAGACACTGAATAGCCATTTGATATGCTTCCTCTGGCGACCAATTACAGAGCCAATCAGCGGAGAACAAATTTCAGCTTCAGCTATTTCAATATAGATTGCTTTTGGCTTTTTCACACGTCACCTACAAACCCTCTCAATCAAAGCAAGTAACACCATCTTGGCATGTGATGGGATTTTTATGATATTTTTCCAGGCAATCACTTGTTGAATCTTCGAGAGTTCATAACAAGCAAGCAAAGCTGGACACAGACTTCCCCTGAGGCTCACTTAACATTCATCTGATAAATATGAACGTGTGATATTTACAGAACCAATCACGGACAGCTGAATGCCGAGGGGGTGAAATGGGCAGGTGGCGGGAGATAAAATACTGAAAGCAGGCCGTGGTGGTACAGTGAGATGGCAGATTGGCCACTACATGTGTATAAGAACCCCCGAGAAGTGGATATACTGTAAAAAAATAGGCAGTATATACAATATGATCAAGTTATGACTTTTGTACACCTTGAGCTTTATCTAGGCTCCTTTCAATGGATTAATAATAGCTTAATTTATAATAACTAGCTTCAACACTTTGATGATATTTGGTCGATGTTGGCCTAAATATACGTTCTGGTGTAATTTGTCTGCCGTCAAACCATTACTTTTGTGTCCATTTTTGTTTTAAGCTTAAACTATTACTGTTAGTTTGGCGGAAAGGTCAATTTGACTAAAACCAATCTAAAAGCTTGCTTATTTGAAAAGCTTATTTGCAAAGATTAGAGACTGCAGATGTTCTTTTTCATTAATCCCTCATCCAGAAACCAACAACAACTTGTACAAATCCTAATTTCTCTACAGTAGTGACAGCCACTTTCGAAATATTGCTATAAAGACACTGTGACAGATATTTGTCTTTGTGGGGGTTGCATTGTTGACTCGTCATTTCCCTCCGAGAGCCCGAGAGACAAAGAACCCCCGGGGAAGCAGTGAATTTTCGAATGAGTGCACACATGCACGTAAACACACACCAACGCGCCGGACGTACGGTGACAAATCTGCAGATGGTATACAGTCATCGGTTTATGAGTAGCATGGATTGAACTCACCCAACGAGTGATGTCAGGAGGGCCTACATTTCAGCTTTAAATGTCAGATTGGTCATGAAGTCGTCAAACAGGCCCAACGACAACCTGTGCTCATCTACTGTACAGTTTGACTTCACATTAATGCCGATAATTTGTCCAATATAATTTAAATATTGACAAAATGATTTCATTCTGAAAGTAGACTGCGAGCGATGACGAACAAATAAAACAGTCAGTGTTAATATACAATTATTATTTGGCCACTGGAGTAAAAATCACTAATACAGCAGCAGAAGATGAACTTTAAAATGTAAAGATCGTATTGTTAAGGCTTCATATTGAATTGTGAGACCCGTGGAGAGATCAATGTGGCGACGTCAATTAAATGAACTAACCTTTACCTCTGGTTGTTTTCCCCTCGAGCGCACCATTTAATTCCTGGCTGTTCCAATGCACACACACTGTGGATGTAAATAAGCAGCACGCTTCAGTAACTTTCTCAGATAACAGTAATTCAATACAAAGTGTTTTTTTCCTATCAGCCACTTGTTTTCATGTCCTTCCTCCCCTCAGGTGCTTCTCATTTTCTCTTTCCTTTGTTCACTGCCCTTTCCTTTTAGTGTTGTCCTTACGTCTGTTCTAAACACATTTCCAGCTATTTTTTGTCCTGCCCCATAACCCCTTTCTTCTCATCTCTGCCAGCACTATTAAGTTATAACTAATTAACTTCCATAGAGTCCCACAGGTCAAACACAGTCCCGGAATAAATCTGCTGCACGCTGTATTTAATGACTTTGTATAGTTTACATGCTGCCTGTGTGTGTGTGTGTGTGTGTGTGTGTGTGTGTGTGTGTGTGTGTGTTTGTGTGTGTGTGTGTGTGTGTTCCTGTGTGAAGTGTCTCTGTTAAGGATGGCAGGAAGAATGAGATGTATTCATTATCACGGTGCAGAGAAGTGATTTTCACGCCTCTTCTACCTGTACAGGAGCTGACGCCATGACCACAGAAATGCAGGAAATCGCCATCACGGAGGAGAAGCCATTACTGACGGGTCAGGCTGAATCCAAGGTCAGAGGAGATGCCACACAAACACACGCATATGTACGATAATGATGATTCGTTGTCAGATCAAGTCTAACATTTTACTTGCATCGCAATGTTAAGACACAATACAAGGAAAACAGACATTTAACATCACACTGGAGAAAAACACACATGTTGCACACAAAGGATTCAAAACATGTTATACAAGCTGGAAGAGTGTGTGTGTGTGTGTGTGTGTGTGTGTGTGTGTGTGTGTGTGTGTGTGTGTGTGTGTGTGTGTGTGTGTGTGTGTGTGTGTGTGTCAGGAGTCAGAAAAACAAGGCTTGGATTGTGTGTGAGCATTTTGTGTCTTTGCTGTCCGCGTGTGCGTTTTGGAGTATGAGCAAAGCGTACTTGTGACACAATGTGGTGGAAATACCGTGAGCGAGTGTGTGTGTTGTGCGCAGCTGCAGCGTTCGCTCAGAGCTGCCGGGTTGACAGCAAAGCCCCTGAAGCTGCCCTGAAGGGGAGAGAGCAGCTCCTCTGCTGATATTGGTCGAGAGCAGAGGGCTCTCAGTCACTGCTGACTCCTGCTGGGAAGAACAGGGAAATACAACACTAAAACTAAAACAACACTCACAAAGAGACAAATAATCTCAATTTGAACCCAGGGAGTGAGCAAATAGAGGTTTAGTGATATTAGTAACAAGAAATGTCCAATCATGTCAGGAAGGTAGGGACTTCTGTCACTATTATAACAATACTAAATAACTATAATGTTCTTATTGTCTACAATCCCATGAAAAGCAAGACATAGTTTCTTGGCATCTCAATAAAACAAAGTAGCACTTATAATGGTTAAGCTAATGGAAAGCTAACGTGGCTAATGGATTATTGCTGTTTTAAGTTTATTTTACTGAAATGTAATGGAATAATTTCCAATGTATCTACGTTTGGATCCTGAGTCAATATTTAAAACAATACAAGTTCAGTATTTTCCTTAGAGAGCAGGGCACTTTAGTTTGAAGCCAACAGTAAGAATTGAGAATATTCCTTGAGGACCTTTTTAGAGTTAGATATTGCGTTTTTGGCATATTTGACATAGACTTTCACAAATCTTACATTAAAAGTAAATATTTGTCTTAATGGAAATGTGGACAAATGAGCTAAATTTCAATGAGATAATTCCTCATTGTCACATTTTAAAAGTACAATTTCAGAAAACTCATAATACAAACATTTGTTGTCTTAATGTAAGTAAACAACTTGGGACATTTCACGTTGATATCTATTAGTTAAACATGGTAACCTATTCCCTTATAGTGCCTTCTTTGTCAAATGTGAGAATGTACATATAAATAATAGAAAATAACAGATATAAGTTATAGACTCATCTCTCTTTCCTGCATCATCGACTATGATATGACCCATGGGGATGTGACGGGTGATTATCCGACCCGCCATCGGTCTCAGTGACATCCCGCCTCTGCCACACGCTAAACCCTATGATCGCGAACACGCTACATATTGATTCAAGTAACAACCTTTTATAATGCATACGCCCAGCTCTACTTCAACTCTCCAGACTGCTCATTTCAGAGGATCTTGGGATGCTTGTAATCTAATAGCTGGGTAAATGGATCCAAGGTTGCAAATGAACGTGAAGCCTCCCACTGACAGACGTCCTACTAATAATCCTCAGTATCCCACAACCACCTGCTCCTCCTGAGAGTTCCTCTGCTACTTTTTCTGGAGTCTAACACCGCCCTTTCGTCTGTGTGGGTGTTAATTACTGAGCGAGCACGGCGTCTTTTAACATAAAAGGACTTTGAAAGAACAATACGTTGGAATTTTCTCTCAAATATGCTTTTGGCTTCTATTTATACTAAAGACAAAAGAAAGAAGAAGAAAAGAAGGAAAAATCCGTTGTTATGTCCCTCAGATTCTGACATGAAGTTATTCTGATTACAATTACAACAATTTATCAAGACTTTTATGAAGGAAATTAACAAAAGTGTTACATTGAGTCCTTTAAGAAGCCCTAAGTAAAAACACCAAACATCTGATTTCATAAATGTAAGGAGTTGCTACTTTTCGTTTTTTTTTTTTTTCGTACTATGGAAATAAACTGATTTTATTTGGCTTGTTGGTCGGATAAAAAAACACAATATATGACATTTCTTTCGACTCAAGTGTTGGTTGATTATCAAAAAATTATTCATTGTTGAAGAACCTAGATTTTATAGGTTTCTTTTCCTCTGCTACACAAACAAGACACAAGTGACATCTTTAGTCACATTTCACACATTCACACCTTATTATAACAAGACTTCATTTCTATATTTTCTCACAGGATGTTGAACTGGCTGCTAGGATACTCCTGCACCAAGGACAGGTAAGACTGTTTTCTTTATTGTAGGAAAACAAAAAATAGAGTCAAGTTGTGTCTCTTTGTTGTTTTAGTCTTATTGTAGTTGCTTAGGTTCCTCTTGTAATAGTTTTTCCGTTTCTTGGTAGTCATTATTTATATGTTTGTGGTTGTTCTACCCTTTTTCATGGTCAATATAAGTCTCTTTGTAGAGTTGTGTGTCTCTTTGTTGTCCATCCAAGGGTCTAGAGAGGTTGTTTTGGAATGAAAAGGAACACGGAATAAAAACCTTGGGGGAGATACTGTATATTTGATGAACTACTAGAACATAGCTGTCAGCTCACTCCAGCAATGTTAATATAACACTTCATATTTGTTATTTCTTTTCTCTTGCTCTCTGCAGGAGCACAGCATCGAGACCCCGCACGGTGTTCTGCACGTGACCCTCCACGGCACACGGACCACCCGTAGGCCGGCCATCCTCACCTTCCATGACGCGGGTCTGGATAGTAAGTCTCTCTCTCTCCTTCATCTTAGTCAAACTTGTGTAACCGGTGTCGATTAGCGGTATCTGCGTTGTGCAGAGGTGGGAAGTAGTGGAGTACAAATACTTTGTTGCTGTACTTAAGTAAATGTTTCTGGTATCAGTACTCTACTCCACTTTTAATGACTTTTTACTTTTACTTCTTACATGTTGAACCCAAATACCTGTACTTTCTACTTCTTACATGTTGAACCCAAATACCTGTACTTTCTACTTCTTACATGTTGAACACAAATACCTGTACTTTCTACTTCTTACATGTTGAACCCAAATACCTGTACTTTCTACTTCTTACATGTTGAACACAAATACCTGTACTTTCTACTTCTTACATGTTGAACACAAATACCTGTACTTTCTACTTCTTACATGTTGAACACAAATACCTGTACTTTCTACTTCTTACATGTTGAACCCAAATACCTGTACTTTCTACTTCTTACATGTTGAACACAAATACCTGTACTTTCTACTTCTTACATGTTGAACTCAAATACCTGTACTTTCTACTTCTTACATGTTGAACACAAATACCTGTACTTTCTACTTCTTACATGTTGAACACAAATACCTGTACTTTCTACTTCTCTCATTTTCCAAACAGCTGGTTCCTTTAGTCTGAATGTGTGTTTGGTGGCGTGATCATTATTATTTAGAGTCATTCATTAGCTAACAATGACATTATTGTTCTATTAATATAAAGGGAGGTCAGGAACTCTTTAAAACAGCTTCTAGTTATGGGTACTTTTTACTGAAGTACATTTCAAAGCCTCTTTACTTTTACTTGAGTAAAGAAGTTTAGTCAGTACTTTTACCAGAGTACTTTTAAAGACGAGTATCTGTACTTCTACTTGAGTAAAGGATGTGTGTACTTTTGCCATCTCTGGCGTTGTGTATCTTTCGTTGATGGATGAGACCCGAGCCAGCATACAGTCGAGCCGACCTCCGTTTATTCACTGACTGACAACAGATATACAACAAATCAGTCGCTATTGAATTGGTTTTCCCTCACACCGACTCCTCTCCCGTGGAACACATTCACAAAAAAAGGAAGAGGAAAACGTGAGGGACACAATATGAAGGGGGGGAAGTCCCCACAAAAATAATCTTCTGAGTACAGTGACTGCATTTTGGAGGTTCTGCCCACTGATTTGAGACCCAGTCACAGAATTATTAAATACAAAACACTGAATTTGTGTGATTATACTAAATGATTTACAAATATGTAACACTAAACACCACTGCATATTTACAACTGTTACACTAGCACCGACTTTTTCTTGACCTCCCACATTTAATCCCTTCCTTTCTTCTTCCTCCTCACAGGTAAGAGCTGCTTCTCCCCTCTGTTCAAGTTCGAGGAGATGCAGGAGATTGTGAAGAACTTCACCGTGATTCATGTTGATGCTCCGGGGCAGGAGGAGGGGGCTGCTGCCTACCCCTCAGGGTACGACGTCATTCCTCTTATATGTGTGTTGACATGCTGGTTTTCCCTCATTGTCCTGCAGTAACCTTGCTTTTTTATAAACTTCTTAGAAACAATCTTCTGTGGCAGGCTTAAACCTAATCTCTTCCCAAAATACTTCCCATCTCTCACATCTCCCTCCTCAATCTGCTCTTCTTGTCAGAGGTTTAAAGAAAAGACGGCCTTTTCTCTATCTTTTTACGCACTTCTCCATCACTTCACGTCCTTGTGTGATTATTTTACAGCTCGGGAGGATTTTGTCTCGGCTGCGACCCTCAATCTAGAAATGGAAGCTTATTATTTTTCATATCGTATTAAATTCCTCTGGATCAGCCAATGTATAAAATATAGAGTCTAATCTTTAGTGATCATGCATCGTGGATAATGGCCAATCACTACATTTGTTAGGTTTCACCATAGATATATATAAACACTAGATGGCTCAAGGGGGGAGTCGCCAGCGTAGCTCACCGGTGGCCATCTTGCCACAGTCAACAACTACTGCTACAGATGTTGTAAGGTGAGTGATCTGCACAGAAATACTCTTAACTCGCTGAAATCTTGACTGATTTACAAACTGTTTGGTTTATTATAAACGTTATTAGCATGGCTATGATACAGGAGACAACAAGACAAATTGAAAAAAAAAGGGTTAATGATTATAATTATAAGTATGCAGTATCATAACTACATCTTTGATGTTTATAACAAACCAAACCGTTTGAAAATTGGTTGAAAATTGAGCAAGCTACGGTTATTTCAATAGTGCACCAGAGACATAATGTTATGAACGAGCGAGCTGCCTGTGGCAAGATAGCTGCCATGTGGCAACGTCGGTCTCCATTGGCCAGCAGCGCCATGGGTTTCACATTCATGGGCAGGGGCGGACTGGGACTAACATTCAGCCCTGGAAACTGACTCAGTCCGGCCACATGAAATGTCAAATGTTAGAAATCCGCAGTTTATTATTTAAAGTTTTACGTCCGATTCGCTCCTTTCCCCTCTCTGTACACAGCTCCAGTTTGGGCATCGGCCTGTCATCAGATTTCGTTTTTAGTTGCTGCTGTAGCGGAAGTTTATTAAAATTATTTTTGATGAAATACTCCAAATCTCCACCCTCCATAATTGCACTTGCTTCAGTTGCGTGCTACTTTTTAAGGGCGGTGTTACAGTACGAACTGAAGTTGATGCGATTTGATTGGATTGTGAGGCATGACGTGAGCCTCATCTGATTGGTCAATCCCTCAATTTTTTTTCACCAAGGGAAGCCAATTTCGGCTGACCTCCTCTCGCAACAGAGAGTGCAATCTACTGTTTCACCATAACATCTAGAGGGGCGCTGTTTCACTCTTTGTAAAATACTCAATGAGAATGGGGGAGAGATGGGCCGGCAGAATAATTACCGAAACTAAACGAAGTGTTTTTATTTATTAATTACAATTAACTACAATCCATAAAAAACAGGGGAAGCCTGGCTTCCCTTGGCCTCCAGGAGAAAATGCGACTGAGTTCAAGGGATCAATCTCACCCACCTCTTGCTCTTGCCCTGCACGTGTGCCAGTTGAGCTGGTTCTTCCAGCAGCTCAACCAGTGCATGACATTAAGGATTTTGGGAGATGGCCCTGTGGGCCATCTAAGCTAATTTACAGATGGCCCTGAGCCCAATAGAGATTGCCCTGAAAAATGTGAGCGGACGAAATTACGCACGAAGGGTTTGGGGGGCCTCACCCTAGAACATTTATATTTTTGCAGGTCTTAGTGTAGATGCTGTCTGGTTCTCTAGACTGAATTATAAGATGAACGACTACAATATTATATTGTACAATTTCAATTGTATTCTTCATTTCACTTGTTTGTTTGTGTTTGCTCGCTTGCATGCCCTGCATAGCTATAAGAAATACTTAAGTTGTTGGTCAAGACACTTTCCATCTGATGAAGGCAGATGCCTTCCCAGATGTAAAAAAGTAGAAAACATTACATTCAGTTATAACTGCCAAAACAAACATTATTTACACTATTATGGCCCCTGTTAAAAATGTTTGTAAAGTTATCTACTGTAAATTGGTCGAATGCCTCCTCATCCGGAAGCTGACCGAGCATCCGCGAAGCACACAAAATGGCGACGTCAGATTTCCCGTTAGCCGGCAAATCTAAATCTCTTCGGTCAAAATAATTTCCCTTTAGCGCAATACCGCTTCAGTTGCGCCACTTATGTGACAGACAAGAAGAGTATGTGATAGACAAGAATAGTCAATTATAATGTCTAAAGAAAGAGATGTCCTGTATGGGTTGATTGTGCGTTGATCTGTTGGTAATGCCTCGGGGTTCCGGTGGGCATGTAAACAAATGCATAATGCTGCGCTATACTTTGTGGCCTCACCCGGTTGCATAGCGACACTTATTGTTTAGGTGTCTTTTAATAAGCAGGTAGTCATATCATTAGCTAGAACTAGCTGGATCTGATCGATATGGACATAAACGCGAGTGAAGTCTAATCTGACGGGAGAGAGAGATCAGCTGCTGCTAACGAGTCGACACGCAGCTCTGCATGATCACATGCAGCGGTGAGCGGACAAAACACACATTTCAGGTTAGAATATCACACGTAGCTATTTTAATTACCTCTCAAACTACCTAAACTAGTTATAGATATGTTTAGTTTTACTGTCGGGTCACTCATTACTGGATCCGCGAGCTGCATGATACTGGCATAATAGATTGCCCGATCGGGCAACCAGCAGGTGAGGCTTCATTGCCCGAGCTAAATACTAGATGGCCCCGGGCCATCGGGCAGTCCTTAATGTCGAGCCCTGTCAACTCTGTCTCTCATCATGAACGCAGGAGGCTGGCTATATATCTGAACTCGCGCCCTCATCATTCTCTTCATCATCTTGCACTTGTTCTAAGCTGCTGCTGATAGTGCTCGTAGCATCGCTGCTGCCAAAAAGGTCTGTCAATTTGCGACATGTATATGCTTCACCTGCGAGTGACTTCACCTTTTTTTCTCTTGCCTTCTCGGCCCCACCTTTTTCTTTTCGTTTTCTTAGATTTGTATCCATGTTTTTTCATTCTCCCTGTCTGCCGCGGCGTCTAATCCCTTCTCTTCGTGTGGCCGGTCTTTTTTCTTCTTTGTGTGTGATTTTTTGACAGATAATAACCACACAACTGCATTAGCGGCCGCCGTCAGCGCAATTTAAATTATGACGTTAAACTATTTTTTTTTAAAGGGCCGGCCGGCCGTCAACGGCCCTTGACGACCGGCCGTTCTGTGGTTCTCCAGATTCTACAGATGGCCAGTCCGCCCCTGTTCATGGGGGTACCTTTTGCACGTCTATTACACATTGCATTGGATGTTGTGTGTTTTCCTAATTATGATGGACCTTTCGACTGATATTGCTTTTGTTTCCTGTTACAGTTACCAGTATCCCACCATGGACATCATAGCGGACATGCTCCCTTCCGTCCTGCAGTTTTTCAAGTGAGTCACCAGCATTTGACGTAAAAGGAGCAGAATTGAACGATTTTTGCCTGTTCTGTCTCACCTTAAAATAAACTTGTGATTCTTTCTGTTTGACTATGTGGAGATTCTCCGTATGTGTTTTTAACTTATTTTGTCCCTCACAGCTTCCGTACTGTAATCGGAGTTGGTGTGGGAGTCGGAGCGTACATCCTCTCCAAGTTCGCAGTGAGTGTCTTTTGTTTTAAACTCTTGTGTTCTGACAGCAGCTAATTATAATGCACCTTGGTATGTTATTAAACCGCAGAGAAAGATGGTAGTAACATATGTAGTAAAGGATTCATTCATAAATCTGTAACTCAAACATCTTTGCCATTTGTAATGTAATCTATGTACAACCACTCTTGAACAAGTTCGAATCCAAGAATGACTAAGGAAGTATAGCATTAAACTTTAAGTACCAGCAGTAAAAATAACTCATTGTTCAGAATGGCCCATTTCAGAATATATGATATTACTGAGTTTAATTATGGATGATTTAACAAGAGTATCACTTTAATATGGCAGCTGCTAATGCTCATTTATATTACTTTATGGTAGAAAATACAATATCTCCCTCTATGGAAGGCAGAATTGTGAAGTAGCAAAACTGAAAGCACTTAAGTAAATTACTAGTAGTTTAAATTAGACTTACGCAGCGTCCACAAGGCGGCGTGCGTTGAAGCTTGCCGGTGGGCATTTCTGAAACTCGACCAACAACCAATCACATGAGTCTCCCACCCCGGACACACAAGCACGCGGTTTGATTGGCTACAGCTTGTACTGGCATATGATTTGATTGGCTGACGCTTCCTTCGAAGCTTCAAAAGTTGAACATTGCTCAACTTTTGAAGCGAGCAACGTGACCAAAGCGAAGCGACGGAACCACAATGCAGTTCGGCAAAGCGTGACGTCACCCCATTCAAAGTGAATGGGCAGAAGCGTTGAAGCTTCAACGCACACCGCCGTGTGTACGGGCCGTTAGTCCTTCATTAAATTCCCTTAGTTTATTCCAACTCTGTAAACATGTTGAATATATAGAAAATGTATAAGATTACTTATTAAAATGGCATCAGGTGAAGAGGATGCTACAAACTCTTAATGTGATAATTGTGCAGCTTTAATTATTTGTGGACATTTTACATGTACTGATTTAACTTACTCTTATCTTTCTACACAGTGTTATTCATGTACATTTCTCTCTCTACTTTTACCTACTCACTGTAAATACACTGAAAACATTCTGTCTCGTGATGTTTTTCCTGTCTTCTCACCTTCTGCTGCTTCCTGTCTCTCATCAGCTCGCAAACCCAGATTCAGTGGAAGGTCTGGTTTTGGTCAACATCGACACTAACGCCCGAGGATGGATCGACTGGGCTGCCCAGAAGGTACGATCGTCTTTGTACTCAGAAAAATGCTGTATTTAATAGAGTTAGACCTCACAGGACCTCTCCATCAATTTTTGTTTATCTGTGGATATGAAATTATGCGACCGCGTGCATGGTCCCAGAGTACTATTGATTATGTCCTTGTTTATCATATTAAACTCCAAAAAGATGAACCGTCCTATTGATTTCTCTTTCTTTCCTCTAGCTCGTCTCCGTGACGTCTTCCCTCACAGAGCAGATCATGTCCCACCTGTTCAGTCAGGTACAAAGACGATAATTGAAGTGTACAATTCAATATTTGTTTCATAATTGTATCAGAACACAACAAGCTTTCCGCCAATAGCGTCGATAAAATGTTGTTTCTTGCAGGAGGAGCTGTCAGCAACCACAGAGCTAGTGAAGTTTCACAGAGAGCGTATCTCCAAAGCTTCAAACCTGGTCAACATAGAGCTCTTCTGGAAGACTTACAACAGGTAAACACACCTGCAAACACTATGACATGAATGCAAATATATGCCAGATTAAGAACAACCAACATAAACTTCTCTTTCTGTTTCCCTCCAGCCGCAGAGACTTGAACATTGACCGCAACAGCACCTTCAAGTAAATATCTTCTAAACTTGTATCTGTATACTTTATGTCTTGTTTGAATTTGAGACAAACCTCCAATATATTTGAATAAAACCCTCCTAATTTCTATTTCTCTCCACTTCAGGTGTCCAGTAATGTTGGTGGTTGGCGATCAGGCTCCATATGAGGAAGCTGCCGTAAGTGTTGAGGCCTTATTTTATCTTTTAAAATATATTTCAATGGCGATTTGACTCAACTTGACAGGTTTCTAGTGTTTTTCTTTCAACACAAAGAGTTGAATGTTGTTGTGATGGCAGATGCTTACTTTGTTTTCCTTGTGTGACCGCTAGGTGGAGTGCAACAGCAAGATGGACCCAACAACAACCTCGTTCTTAAAGGTAACCAATGAAGTATTTCTTTTCTTAATCAGTTTATATCCTGTTTGTCATCTTACTTGCACTTTATTTACCCATTCACTCTTACACTCTTCTTTGCTTTGTCCTCCACAGATGGCCGATGCTGGTGGTCTCCCTCAGCTGACCCAGGTGAGAACAAACTACCAACGTCTTTCTGAGACTTAAAACCTTAACTCGTCTTTGAACACGAATTGATGTATTAAAACGTAACTAAGAATTGCAAAAGATCATCAGAATGTGAAGCATTGTACCTAGAATTTAATCTTACATGCCAGTTCCTACAAAAAAGGGAACAAACTTATTTGAAAAGCAATCATTCTGGGTGTTGTAGTCTAGCGGCGACCTCTGGGTCTGAAAAGTGAAGCCTTAAGTCGCTTAAACCTTTTTTTTAATTGTTAGCACGGGGCGACTCCACTGATGTAAAAAAAAGTCAGATTCTATAGAAGTCTACTAAGAAAATGACCCGAATGTTCACTTGATGTATTGCCTCATATTCCTAATTAGCAGCAATGGCAAAAGTACACACATACTTTACTCGAGTAGAAGTACAGATACTCGTGTTTAAAAATACTCTGGTAAAAGTAGAAGTACTGACTAAACTTCTTTACTCAAGTAAAAGTAAAGACTTTGAAATGTACTTCAGTAAAAAGTACCCATAGCTAGCAGCTGCTTTAAAGAGTACCTGACCTCCCTTTATATTAATTGAACAATAATGTCATTGTTAGCTAATGAATGTTTCCATGCTGAACAACGGCAACATGACAACGTTTCCACAACGTTTCCACACGCAATGACTCTAAAGAATAATGATCACGCCATCAAACACACATTCAGACTAAAGGAACCAGCTGTTTGGAAAATGAGAGAAGTAGAAAGTACAGGTATTTGAGTTCAACATGTGAGAAGTAGAAAGTACAGGTATTTGGGTTCAACATGTAAGAAGTAGAAAGTACAGGTATTTGAGTTCAACATGTGAGAAGTAGAAAGTACAGGTATTTGTGTTCAACATGTAAGAAGTAGAAAGTACAGGTATTTGAGTTCAACATGTAAGAAGTAGAAAGTACAGGTATTTGGGTTCAACATGTAAGAAGTAGAAAGTACAGGTATTTGAGTTCAACATGTAAGAAGTAGAAAGTACAGGTATTTGTGTTCAACATGTGAGAAGCAAAAGTAAAAAGTTGTCAGAAAAATAAGTAGTGGAGTAAAGTACTGATACCAGAAAAATGCACTTAAGTACAGTAACAAAGTATTTGTACTCCACTACTTCCCACCTCTACTAATTAGTCAATACATCTCAACTTCTTTCATGTCTTTTCCAATTCAGTATGATGGTAAAATAGACACAAATGCAGACAATAAAGCTTTCTCTACCGTTTGAGTTCTTACCACTGCTTTGTCCAGTCTGGGTTACACTGGGTTATTACCTTTTTACAGATTAGAATAAATCAATGTACTGATGTTATCTTTCTTTGTGTTTGCAGCCTGCTAAACTGACTGAGGCTTTCAAATACTTCATCCAAGGAATGGGCTACAGTAAGTTCACTTAATTGAGTCAAGCTTGGGTTTGTTTACAAAAAAAAGTAGAATAACCACATCTTTTGCCTTTGTCATTGCCTAGTGTTTCCATGAATGTCTAATATTTAAAGATATTTAATTCTATCTATCTGTTTTTCTCCACAGTGGCTTCATCTTGCATGACCCGTCTGTCTCGCTCCCGCACCACCTCCCTGTCCTCCTCCTACTCCATGGATGGGTCGCGCTCTCGCTCCCGCACCCTCTCTCAGGGATCTCAGGGCGGACAGATGCCGCCCAGCTCCTCCCAAACCATGGAGGTGTCTTGCTGAAGGAAAACATAATAATAGCTAGGGATGCTCCGATCGCCAATTTCGGGGTCGATCGCCGATCACCGATCGCCGGAATCAGTATCGGCCGATACCGATCGCCGATCCGATCGAGTGGGCGGGGCCTAAATGGAAGATTTAAACATCACTTTAAATCTTCCATTTAAAGTGATGTTTAAACTCAGTTAATGCTCATTCACTGGAGCTTCCACAAACAACAACCAACTTAATTATTACATTCAAATGATGTACATTATTCAAGTTTACATTCACTTTGGATAATAACACGGGAGAAATTAGCGGAAGCGCTCTCTTTTCCTCTCTCCCTCTCTCCCTCTCTCTCTCCCCCCTCTCCCCCTCTCCTGACAGCCTGTCAGTATCTCATGCAGCTCACTGATCCAGTAATGAGTGACCCGACAATGAAGAATAAATATATTTATAATAACTAGTTTAGCTTGTTCCAGAGGTAGATAAAATAGCTAAGTGTGTTAGGTCTTACGGTACGTCCACACAGCAGCTTTTCAAAAATCTTGAAAATCTTGGAGCTGGGCGTGTCTGAAAGCTTGGGGATTTTTTGCGAGCAACGCAACCAACAACCAGTCACATGAATCTCCCGCCCCCGACATACAAAGCAAAAAACCCCGGGGATTTTATGCGAGCAATATATATATATATAAACTCCCCAAACAGGCGAAAACCAGTTTCACCCACTGTCTCTGCCACCTCCCTCCATGCCTGGTTCCTCCGGTTTGTATCCCGTTAATAGTTCTGGTCGTAAAGAACCGGGTGATTTGCTACCATAATTTCTCGTTTGGAATATGAGGAAATGAACTGCGGTCTGGTTCTCCCTGTGTGTGTGTTTCGCTTACCGGTCCGGCGGGCGGAGCTGCAGGATTTCTGCTTCACACACGTTGCATACCGCTATTTTACTGTCTTTTTCGGACACCTTAAAATAATGCCAGACCGGTGAAGCCATTTTGGCGAGCTTGTTTTGCCGCGCACAGAGAAAAGTGTCATGTATTTTACGTCATGCGATCGGCTCTCGCGATCGGCATGTTTAGAGAGTACCGATCGATCGGTAGAGAGTGAGTATCGGCCGATATCGATCGGTGACCGATCGATCGGAGCATCCCTAATAATAGCTAAAGAGATAGAGGGTGAGAAAGAAAGAGGGCAAACAGAAGGGAAAGATGAAGTGCGACGATAATGAAGGAACAAGACGAATGGGTTACCTATTTGTCATTTAACAACTCCCGTCATTCCCACATAAGAGCAGTATAGGATAAGAGATGGAGAACCGTCTGCATCAGTCCTCCTCCTCTCTGCAAAGTGGATTGGGCTGTTCTACAACGAATATAAAAAGTATAGAGATTAATAAAAAGGATGGAGGTGAGGAAATAATGGCCACCAGTCCTATCTCCCTCCCTCTTTTCACGCCAATAGAGCCCTTTAATTTAGAGGAGGCCTATAGGGAACACACACCTTGCAGTAACCAATAGTAATAATTCAGAAATGGTATTGTTGTTGACCCTGATGATTATGGTGTTGACGAGGATGTTGAAGCTATTAATGATGATGTTCAGTTTAAAAGAACATAGGTTAAAAAAAATAAAATATAAAATAGCAAAGATACTTATAACAATGTGTGTCTTCTTACTTTTTAAGCTAGATTTTACCGTGTTATTTTTATTTCTTGAATCTGATTTTATTATGTCATTTGTAACCTGCCTCAGCAAATGGCCGAAGCTACTTATTGGTTGACCCGTCAGCCAATGAGAGCCATTATAGTGACTACTTCCTCCTTGATGTTGCCAGGTTGTTTATGTCTTCCATTTGCCCCGTCTATAAGTGACTGTTTTTGTTTTTCCCATTGGATTTGAGGAAGTGGGCAGGAAGCTTTTTTGTTATTTTGCTTTTCTTTCTGGACTTGGAAGTTGCATGCCTGATATCAGCCGATGTGAATATTGACTGGATACTATTTTTCTTTTTATATTCTGCTAATGAGTTGAGTGGATTTGTTTGTTGTGTGTGTGTGTGTGTGTGTGTGTGTGGTGTGTGTGTGTGTGTGTGTGTGTGTGTGTGTGTGTGTGTGTGTGTGTGTGTGTGTGTGTGTGTGTGTGTGTGTGTGTGTGTGTGTGTGTGTGTGTGTGTGTGTGGTGTGTGTGTGTGTGCTGTTTTGTTTCCTTGGAGTGTTTCGCAAACATGGCGGTCTATAAGTAAGCATAGGTGAGACTGAGTTAGCTTTAGCTATCGTTAACACTAGTCGCTCACTAATTAGTGCTTCCAATATTCCTGGATTCCAGCATTGTGTCCCAATATCCATGCTGGTGTACATCGCAAAGTAGCATGCTAGTATAGATATTGCTTCTCAGTGTTTGGTTAACCCAGAAGGGATCACTGTGTTTATCATCTGGGTTGTAGTCTTTTAGCCTTGCCCGTGCATGGATACCTCCTAAAAAACCCAGCTAGCATACTTGATTTTGAGTGCGATGGGAAGTATACTGAACACAAGCTTCTCAACTAGCGACTTCATCCAAAACGGGGTCAAGAGAATTGTGTTGTGAATGTTGCGATATGTATGTGTCCGAGGAAGTAAATGTCGGTGTGTAGAAGCGCTTGTATCCTGTAAGCACAATTATTGCAGTAAAGACATCCAGGGTCCTATGGAGAAGTTTAATTTTGAATCCAACCAAACCCCCTGTGACTGACTTATCAATGACAATGTTCCAGCCCCTTCACTGCCAACAGACTTGAATTTTTTTTTTTAAATGTTAAAATATTGAGCCTTTTCTTGTCATACATTGAAAATAACCGCCAATTTCTGCACTTTAATACAACAAATCGGGAATTGCTTTCTTACTGCCAAATCTAATGTCACCCAAATACAGGGGTCATGATTTCGCCATCAGAGATTTCTGTGAGCATTTAAAATGTCCCACTTCATCGAAATTTCAACACAAAAGCTTACCACTGCCCAGCAACATGTCATTAGGCTGAGCATACTTTTTGAAGTCCCAGTAAGATTTTTTTTCGGCGCACAAGTGCATTTCTGAGCTTGGCCCCTATTTGCACACTTTCTTGTACTGATGAAGCGCTTTTCTGAAGTTACATTTTTATGAAGGGTTGCCTGTTTCTGCCACATATTATCTAGTGGTCCGTTCCCAAACTATTTGACGAAGTAAAGATGGATGACGACAGTGACAGGAAAAGACAGCTGAGTGCCTAAATGCAAAATCTGAGGTCAACCCAGGATGCCGCCATGTTTTAGGCACTTGTGTTGCTGTTGAGTGCTGAAGAGTAGAATGTAGATGCTCCTCCCAGACTTAAAATAAAGCTCAAGCAATCTGGCATGGGATCATCTACCAAAAAAAACTGTTGGAGCTTAGACAATGAAATTGCCAAATAAGGAAAATAAGTGGTACTTATTTTTGGAGAGTTGAGCAGGGCTGTGTGATTGTAAATTTGCTTGTCCATTTTGTCTTTTCATTTTTACTATTTTTTCTTCCTCCCTCTATGTTTTAGGATTTCTGTTTTGTTTTATCTCTTTGAAGTGTTAGTTTACCGTCCTGATGTGCTCACAAGTTAGTTAACCGTGTGATAGTTCTTGTGTAACTTTTTTAGCCTTAGCAGTGATAAAGGAGATTAATAGAATTAACAATAAAAAAAATAAAGGTAAGAAAATACAATCAATTTTACTTGTGTAACACAATGAACATACTAAAAAAAGCAAACGTAAATATTAATAAATGCTTAAAATAAATATCCTGTCTCCTGTCTTGCATTTTCAAGAGAAAGCCTTACTTATATTGTTTCCCCATTGTGTTGCTATATTTCAACAAAGCATTTTTCTTGTCAAGTAGGGGAACAAAAAGCCCTGATTTAAACTGATTATAGACATTTGCTATATGGCTTCTGGCCATTGGAGGCAGCACTGAGCACAATTCTACTCAACAGCACTTGAGGGACAACACAACACTCTTAACAAAAAATCATGGTCATGTTGATGCTTTGCAATTCTTGCAGAATCTTGGCTTGTTTTTGGTCATGTTGATGTTTTGCAGCCTTTCATTGGACCACAATATGCCTGTCATCCTGACATGGTTGATCTTTATTATTGATAAAACCATCAACTTCCCTGTCAGAAGTCAGCATTGTGGAGGGGGGTCCAGACAACTTGACTAAGAATACCATATTTGGTCTAAAGGACAGTGAACAGCTCCAAAACAACACTCTTACTCAATAATGTTCTCGAACAAGTTTCTCTGAGGCAGTAATCGTCAGCTTTCACAAGAAGATGAACCCTGTGTCCTTGCATCAACTTGGGGCGGTGGTGGAGAAGCCCGTCTTTTGGGAACCGAAAGGTCACCGGTTCAAGTCCCTGAAAGACCAGGGTTGCGTTCCAATAGTCCATTTAGCTTAGGAACCTTCCTAACCAAGTGAAATGACCCGGAAGTCCCTCAGTGGCAGCCATGATAAGTGCCGTTCCAATTCTCCAAATGAAAGGAAAGGAGGTTTCAAACTTCCTTTATAACCTCCTTTAGCTTAGGAACCACTGGACCTCCCTAACCGAAAGGAGAGGAGAAAATGCTGCCCCACAATGCATTGCAGGCGCAGCATTTGCCGTCACTCAACAATCGGCCGTTCACGGAAACAACCGATTATGACGGAGAAATGATATCATGAAAGTTACGGTGCTTATTAAGCTTTTTAAAACGTATGTGGTAAGTTGCCAAAGTGCTTTGTTCTGAACGTTCATCAGTATTATAATCAAAGAGAGAAATATGAACGTTAGTTTTTACTGAAATTATCAAATAAAGTCAACATTTCACAGTCTTTACTGAGCTGTGTGGGGTTTGTTCAACTTTTAAAAGATGTTTGAATGGTGATATACACAGTGATAGATGTTAAGGACTAACGTTTATAATAAATACATTTGTATTGATTTTAAGACATGTTCATAGTTCATACAATCATACGTATTGGGATCATTTGTATTAATGTGGACCGGAGGGAGAGGGTGACGACGAGCATAAGTTTCACTTTCCTTTTTTATTTCAATTCCAACTTTGGTCATGAAGAATATGTTTCTCTGTTGTCCACGTTCATAAAGCTTAAAGCAACAGCGTCAGAGCACAGAGTCTCTAGATGAGTTTACAGTAGTCCCTCGTTCTTATTAAACATCCATGTTGTAGTCCGCTGTATAGAAAACTGTAGTTTCCATAGTTTCCCCACAGCAGCAGACGCATATTCATGACGTCCGCTGGCGCATCATAAA